ATGATTCACGACCGAATGCGGCCGCCATCTGTGCGCATGACCACGTGGCAAGTACTTGCGCTCGGCAGGGGCAGGCAGTGACACCCCTGTCGGGGCGGTCGCGCGCAGGATTTTTTCGTTTCCTATGGTCGCCGGGTGGTGGTGTGTATTTTGGGGCCCCGCATCCCAGGAGGCCGAAAAAGGGAGAAACGGGTGAAGGGTGGCGGTACGGGTACTATTTCCTCCTCTGTAGGGAAACAAACAATGACATAAACATAACAGCTCGGAGGTCCGCGCGGATTTCTCGGATCGGCGTTGCACCCCCCCTCCCTGGCGCGCGGCGCGCATCAGGGGCGGCGCCAGAGGCGCCGCCAGGGGGGTCTAGCGCCGATCCGAGAAACTAGCGCGGACCTCAGAGTTTTTACGCTTATGATCTCATTCTTCGTTCCCCCACTCTGAGAGCTCTAAGGGTCCACGTTGCGAAACAATACGACGTCATCCGGCCTGGGGGCGCTTGCCAGCAGTTGCGCCTCGTCAGGGGCGTCGTTCCGGGAGTGCCCCGGGCCGTCCCGGAGACGGCCGCCGGAGGCCCGTGTTCTGGCCCGAAGGCCAGGCGCCGAGGGCGCCTTCTCGGTTCGTTTGGTTTTGCTTCGCAGTCGGCCGCGGCTCGGTCGGTTTGGCTCGGTCAGCCGCTTCGCCGCCGCGCCCCTGCAGCCGAAGAAGAAAATCGCCACAGACATCAACTTCTGGCGCTCCGCGCGGGTTTCTTGGATCCGCGCTGGGGCCGCCCTGGTTGCGCCTCCGGCGCCGCCCCCGGCGCGCTCCGCGCGCCAGGGAGGGGGGTCCAGCGCAGATCCAAAGAATCCGCGCGGAACGCCAAAAGTTTATGTTCATGGCGTTCTCTCTTCGTCCCTCCAGGCTGATCTCGGCACGTCGGCTCCGTTTGGGGTCTCGGTCTCGGTGGCGGCTCGGTCGGCTTTATACTAGGTTGTGCCGTCTTCGCGGGCGGCCGTTGAGTCCGACGCCGTGCTTTGTACGTCCACCGCCCTGGGGAGCCGATCTGCCAGGGCCCCACTCGGCCGTGGACGCGGACATTTGCGGGCTCCAGGGGGATGAGTAGGATGAGGATGAGGATGAGGATGAGGATGAGGACGATGAGGATGAGGATGAGGACGATGATGATGATGATGATGATGATGATGATGATGATGAGGAGGAGGAGGAGGAGGAGGAGGAGGAGGAGGAGGAGATGATGATGATGATGATGATGATGATGATGATGATGATGTGATGGAGGAGGAGGAGGAGGAGGAGGAGGAGGAGGAGGATGATGATGATGATGATGATGATGATGATGATGATGATGATGATGATGAATGATGATGAGGATGAGGAGGAGGAGGAGGAGGAGCAGGAGGAGGAGGAGGAAGAAGAATAATGATAATAATGAGGAGGAGGAGGAGGTGGAGAAGGATGAGGAAGAGGAGGAGGAGGTGGAGGAGGAGGAGGAGGAAGAAGAAGAAGAAGGGTCCTGAGAACATCCGCAGCGGCCGCCCCCCGGGGGTCCTGGGAGATCGCTCCCGCAGGCGGCGGATCATCTAAGCCCCCCGTCTAGGTGACCTGGACGCCGACGGGGTGGGATGTGACCAGGCCTCCCAAATGGGCTCTGCGCAGATGGGGTCGGAGGATCGCGCCGCATCGCCGATGCATCGCCGAGGCGGCTCGATGTGGAAGCCCCGCTTTCTCCACACCGTCGCCGCCGCTCCGCCGGCGAGGCGGCGCGATCCCGCGACCCCGTCTCCTCCCATCTGGGAGGCCTCCAGAGGTTCCGAGGGCCCTGCCGACTGCGCCGAAGGCGCCGCTCTGCTGGGCGACGGGCGGCCCGCGCGCGGGCCGGCGCGGCGCCACGACGTGCTGCTGGGTGTGCTGTCGTCGGCGCTGCTCGGCGGCGCGAGCTGCTACCGCGCGCTGTCCCGCGACGCTGGTCCGGCCGAGCCTCGGGGCGCGAGGCTGCGGGCGCAGGCGTGCACCGCCTGGGCATATGTAATTCACATCCGCTGCCCAGAAGTCGCGCCCCAGGATCTCCCTCCTCCTCCTTCACTCCCGCTCCTCCTTTCCTTCCTCCTCCTCCTCGCCCTCTTTCCTCTTTGTTCAGGCTGTGTCTCACGCGTTTAGTGGCATTGCGTGCTGTTTCGCAATGCCAGCTGTTGTGTAAGCTGTGGGAGGCTTGTCGAAGGGTGCGGCGCTTGCGTTATATGTAGGAGGAACAAGAAGGAGTCGCGGCGCGGGATCTCGGGGTCCTTTCGGGGAGTGGTGGGCGCGGGCATCTGTCCGCGCCCGAGGGCGGGAAGGCATGGCTGTCCCCATGCACCGGCCCCAGGGATTCCGGGCGCGGGCTCTTGTTTAGCCGCGGATGTGGATGCTGCATGGCGATGCCCACGGTTTGTTCGCGTCGTGTCGACTGTCGGCGACATCGTCGCCAGCATTCAATGTTGAACGCCGCCGGCGACACATAATCGGTCGATGTTGAATGATCTGAAGCGTCGGAAATGGCCGATCGCTCAAGGTTGAACGATCCCCGCGGTGTCACAAAGCAACGCCAGGGTAGGCACAACACGAACCCTGCTGTAGGTGGGCGCGCCCCTCGGCTTCGCCGCGCACAACGGCGACAGCAG